ATTAAGGGGAGTGGGAGAGGAAATGGAGTCAGGATAAGAGAAAAAATGGCTGGCTGGATAGGAGGTGTACTGCTGCTGTAACAAATTACCATAAAATCGACTTAAATCACCACAGATTAGCAATCCAACACTGGTCTCATTGGGCTAGAATCAAGGTGTCATATGGTCACCTTTCTGGAAGCTCTAGGAGAGAATTAGTACTTGCCTTTTCCAGCTTCTAGAGGCTGCCTGCATTCTTTGGCTTGTGGCCCCTTCCTCCATCTTCAAACTCAAAAGGGAGGGTTAAATCCTTCTCATATCCCATCACTCTGACCCTCTTTCTGTCTTCTTCCCACTGGGAAAAAAATCACAATAAGATACATATAGCATAAATTAACCATATTAAAGTGAACAATTAAGTGATATTTTGTACATTCACAATGTTGTGCAATCACCACCTCTAGCTCCAAAATATTTTCTTCACTCCAAAGGAAAACTCCATATCCATTAAGTGGTTGCTCCCCATTCCTTCTTCCCTCCAGCCCCTGGCAACCACCAATCTGAGTTCTGTCATTATGGATTCATCTATATGGATAGTTCATATAAACAAATTTCTACAATACTTGATCTTTTGTGTCTGGCTTTTTTCATTTCATATAAAGTTTCTGAGGTTCCCACTTCCACTTCGAAGGAACCTGGTGATTGGACCCATCTGGATTATTGAGAGTACATTCCCTATTTTAAAGTCCACTGGTTAATTCCATCTACAATCTTCTTTCCCCTTTGCCATGTAATGTCACATATTCACAGGCTCCTGGGATTAGGACAGAGACATCTTTGTGGGGAGGGGGTTTCATTATTTTGCTTACCATAGGAGAAGTCACAATGGGTTGAGGCTAAATATCTGAGGGATTCTACTTAGCAGTTCAGATCCAGAAGAGGACATATGGACTGCGGCAGTGGTCCAGGGATGGGGCTCTGCTGGGTGGATGTGGTGCACAGAAATTGTGGACCTGATACTTACTCTGAAGGTTCTGGATGGGGAAGAGGGGGAGGATAAGAGGCTAGGAAGGAGTTGATAACAAGAGAAATGAAATGGGCTAAGGCAGGGCTCTCCAAACTTTTTAACATGTGTTCAGTCTTGGAGGAGTTTAAGCAGAGATTCTGATTTAAGGGTAGGATCCAGAAATTGGCCCAGGGATTTTTGATACAGCCAGTGGGTGAGTCAACTCTGTGAGGAATACTGATGTAGATCCTAGAGGTCTTGAGGAGGTTAAAGAACTCATGTTTTAGGAGTCAGGAATCAATTTGGACCGACCACATTTTAAGAGTCACACAGTGGGATTTTTGAAGTTGGAGCTCCTTTTTTAACCTGCTGAGCTCCTTCACACCTTAAGTCCTTCACGTTAGCTACGCCCTTTGCCTAACACAATGCTGTCCATACATATAGTTGTAAATGTTATAGTATCCACATTAAAGTACAAGGAAACAGAAAATTAATTTAAATAATATATTCTATTCAATACAACACAGCCAAAATATTATCATTCAATATATAATTACTGAAAAATTATTGAGATATTTTACATCATTTTTGTCTCACTATGTCTTCAAAATCTAGTGTGTATTTTATTCTTGCATCACATCTCAATTTGGACCGACCACATTTTAAGAGCTCAGTAGCCTCACATGGCTACCATATTGGTCACACGGGCTGGAATGTTCTCCCCTGAATCTTTACATGGCTGGCCTCATCTCATTTAGATCTCTGTGCAGGGATGCCTTTCCTGGTCACACTGTTTAAACCAGCTGCTCTCCATTCCTAATACTGCTTTCTTCTCTTCGGAGACTTATTGCTAAAGAATGTCTTGGTTATTTATTTTATTTTATTTTATTTATCTGCCTCCACATAAGATATAAATCCCATGAGAGCAAAGACCTATCTTCTTTAGTGCAGTATCCCCAGCAACTATGTCACATCCTCAATAGACTCTCAACAAATGTTTATTGAATGACTTTGAAGATTCCAGATTCATCTCTGAAGCCAACATTCATTCAGTAGGATGTTGGGGTAGAAGGCCCAAGAGAGAGGAGCATTATGCAAGAAATAAGATGAGAGAAAGCCAACCTGAAAGCTTTTTGTGAACTAAAAGGCTGACTCTCAGATGTCAAGTTAGAGTCTTAGTTGCTTTTCAGCTGTGACTTGGCTACATGTTGATTCAATCACTGGCTTATCTGCTTTTAAGAGAAACCATCTCACCAAGTGGCACTTCTGCCTGGCACCAGTAGATGGGGCAATGTCATAACAAAAAAGCACAGTATGCCCTCCAATGGGGTGTCTAACCCGTTTCCCAACTGACTTTGCCAAGGTTCTGTTCTGGAACTGCTCTGTCTTAGATCTGTGGTGTGGGCTCATAGACAGTGCTTTCTTGACTAAAGAAATGAAGCCTCAGTAGTGACTTGTACTTTCTAAGGGGAGGCCAGCTTCTCCAAAAGGTGAGGCAGGCTCCAAAGGCTGGTCCAGGCCCAGGCTGCCAGGAGACAGCCTATTTCTTTTCCTGGGACTTTGAGCCCAGGCACAGAACATGACTCACATACAGGAGTGTTTCTATTTGCCTAGAACCTTTCTGTCCTCTTGAGGCTGAAAACAGATTACTAAAAAGGTAGTCCAGGTGTGGCAGAGACCAGTCCACAGAAGCAGCTCCGTGGGCCTGTATTCTGGGACTGATACTCGGAAAAGCCTTGCTTGCCAGTGGAATCCTCCCTGCCAGTTTGCAGCACTGGTTTCCCTGCCACCTCATGAATCCCAAGGGGTACTCCTTGCAGACGCTGAGACCATCCTTTGCTCTCACCACTCATCCCAACTACTCCTCCCTTGGATCTCCAAGTAATTTGCAAATGTTAACAGCTTCAACATGATGTCTGCTTTTGTAGAGTTTAGACTTCGAGATTGTGGACCAGTTAAAGGTTGCTTAGCACAGGTTAATTTGGTGTGATTTTACTGGAATTTTTGTTTGGAGCATGTACTGCCTACTTCATTGCAACTGCAAGATATTATGGAAATTTTAGCAAAAGAGGAATTAACTCTGGCTTAAATAGCTTATTTATATTCCTAACTAGCTCATTCCAGTACTGTGCCTGGTATCCCTCCATTAATCCATCAGTGCAGCTGAGGAGTTAAGGCCTCACAGCCCTGATCTAATGACACACTGGGGCCAGTCTGCCATGGAAAAGCCATTCCTTCTCTCAGAGAGTAGGAGGGCCCAAAAAAGCATGATCAGGAGACTTTCTTCTTTGATCAGGAAATTTTCTTCTTTTATTATTACAATCATTAAACTCCATCTTAACCTACACGTGTGCATGTGTTTTCATGTTCTATATTTTTGCTGCCCTCTATACCCAGAAAGCCATTTAATTCTTCCCTGCTTGGAGAAATCCCATTCATCCTTTGAACCTCACCACCTCTGTGGAGCCACCTCTGATTTTCCTAGTCACGATTAACCTTTTCTTCTTCCAGCTTCTCATAACACTTTGGGTCTTTCTCAGGGAATTTATCTCACTCTGTCTTTTTGTTTATATGAATATCTCATTCATTAATTCAACAATTAAGTAGTGCCTTTTTGTAGCAGGCACTAGGTATACAGGGTTTTCTCGTAGAACCTGCATTCCAGTGCAAACCCAAAGTTGAGTGGAGTATCCACCCTTCATTGGACTGGGAGCTTCTTGGAGACAGTAATTGGGTCTGCTTCTTACTCAGGGACTGCCACAAAAGGTACTGAGAAGTTATTTAAATTGAAACTCAGTACCAAAGACTGAGAAAATGAAAATGTTATAGTACCCACATTAAAAAAGGTTAAAAGTTAGCAAAGGTAGAGGGCCAGGGAATTTCTAGGAGGGGCGACTGTGGTTCTGAAATCTGGCATGAAAGCCAGAGACATCCACCACCTCTCAGTGGACTGGGCCTGTGGAGTGGAGGGAGCCTTGTCCTCCAGGACAGGCTTGAAAGTTTGATGCAGGATCACCTGGGCATTTATCACGCATTCCAGATAGAATTTTTTTGCTTTGACTGAGCAGACCATAGAGGCAAACAAGTTGTTTCAAGGGTCCAGAAATGAGTTACTAGCCAAAGGTCAAGTTGGTCAGATAATTAAAGCTACAGTGTCCAGTTGACACACAAGTAAAGCAAGATTAATGTGATTGGCTGGGCACTGTCTGACGCAAAAAATAAAAAATGTAGTTTGAATTTTTACCAGGAATTCTCATCCAAAATGAATGACTGGCCCGTCAAAGTAAACTGAGTTCTGATCACACATAAGCATTCCTTGGAAACTGTATATCTCTCAGAAAACTGAGGTACTCTGAGGCCTGAGACCATCAGGGGCACTACTGGGGGTTAAGAGCAGGTAGCACCTTATTTACCCTCTATATGCTTGGCTATATTGTTCACTCTAGTCATCTTACTATACCACTCACCTCCCTTTTACCTATAGAGAAAGGCTCCACGGTAGTGAAAGGTAAGTCTTGGTGTTTTCTTTGCCCCTCTTATTTTCTTCAAAAGAATAAAATTCTGGAAAAAAAAATATTAAAGAGCACCCAGTCATTCTCAGAAAGCTGTCTTACAATGAAAGAACCACTATTCCCCCCCCACAACTTTTTTGCATAGTAAATTATAGTATAAATCCCACTTTCCGCCACCTCCTCCAGAAGTTTCGATGGAGACATATATTTATTCTATGAATTGCAATTCAGCCTGGAGGTGGAGTGTCAGAATTCAAGTAGCTTTTCCTGAGGGGTAACCCCAGTATTGGGGATATCTGTAGATAAGAGAGATGCTGCTAAATTTGGGATGTAATTGCTGGATTAGACCGGTCTCCCCATTCCCTCGATCAGTGGCTGCAACCGGGTCCCTTTAAGAGACCAGAAACCCGCCGGGCATCGGAGACCGAAACGGATCCTCTTTTCTGCTCCTCCCCTGTCCCCGCGCAGCGAATGGTTCGCGCCGGCCTATATTTACCCGAGATCTTCCTTCCAGACGGCAAGGATGTGAGGCTGACGAGCTGGCCAGCGCTCGCAGCACCGGAGGGGGAGCGCTGCAAAGGCGGGTAGCGGACCGAGGGAAGCCCGGGAGCGGAGTTGGACAAGCCCGGAGAAAAGAAATGAGGTAGCGACAGTCCCTGGAGCCCACCATGAGCGCGCCCCGCCCTTGGAGCCCCGCTCTGCCCCGGCCGAGCCAGCCGGGACAGTGAGCCGGCCGAGCCGAGTCCCCCGCGTCCGGCGGGAGCGAAGATGCAGTGAGCCACAGCGGGACTGCTGCGCGGGGCCGGCCGCGGCCAGCCGGACCCACCATCAGACCGCACTTGGGGGCAAGCAGCAGATTCTGGGACCAGCCCGGCCGAGGGGCTCTCTGCCTCTAGCCACCCCGTGGGGGTGGGGAGTACTGGACCCTGGACTCACTCGCTGTTGAGTTTCCGCGGTTTCTGGCCCAGCCCTGGGGATTGTGTATATGTGAGAAGGGGGACCCTTTTCACATTCAACGAGGAGTTCCTGCATATTCTCCCACCATCTCGGCTGCTTTTGCTTGGGGTCCCCTCTATTTGCAGGCGCGCATCTTTTTTGTCGTTGTTTGTTTTGTTTCGTTTTGTTTTATTATCATTATTTGTTTTTACTAAAGATGTTTTCTGCTTCTCTTTCGTTCCGCCTTTTTCTCATTTTGCTTGCCTAAGACTCTCCTTCATCTTGCCCAGGCAGGGGTAAATCGCGTGTACGCTCCCCCTCGCTCCCCCCCACCCCGCGCAGTTGACTATTTTCTTCTCTTAACAAATTCTACCCCTACCGCCTATAGGTCTCCCTAGTTCTACACCCCTCTCCCACCCTCACTCCCAGCATAGTTTTATTTTTCCGTCTTGCTTGGGCCGAGCCCGGCAGGGCCGGGGCGTGGGGCTCAGCGGGGCTCGCACCCTGCGCTCCGCTGCCGCCGCCGCCACCGCCGCCTCTGCTGCCGCCGCCCAGTTGCGCAGGGGCGCCCTCCGGAGATGCTGCCGTGGAAGAAGCACAAGTTCGAGCTGCTGGCCGAGGCTCCGCCAAGGCAGGCGTCCAAGCCCAAGGGCTACGCGGTGAGCCTGCACTACTCCGCGCTCAGCTCGCTGGCGCGGGCGTGCCCCGAAGGCGCGCTCAGCCGGGTGGGCAGCATGTTCCGCTCAAAGCGCAAGAAGCTGCACATCACAAGCGAGGACCCCACATACACGGTGCTCTACCTGGGCAATGCCACCACCATTCAGGCGCGCGGCGACGGCTGCACCGACCTAGCAGTAGGAAAGATCTGGAGCAAGAGCGAGGCGGGCCGTCAGGGCACCAAAATGAAGCTGACTGTGAGTGCGCAGGGTATCCGCATGGTGCACGCAGAGGAGCGCGCGCTGCGTCGCCCGGGCCACCTCTACCTGCTGCACCGCGTTACCTACTGCGTGGCGGACTCGCGGCTGCCCAAGGTCTTCGCCTGGGTGTACCGGCACGAGCTCAAGCACAAGGCGGTAATGCTGCGCTGCCACGCGGTGCTGGTGTCCAAGCCCGAGAAGGCTCAGGCCATGGCCCTGCTGCTCTATCAGACCTCGGCCAACGCACTGGCGGAATTTAAACGGCTCAAGCGGCGGGACGACGCGCGTCACCAGCAGCAGGAGCTGGTGGGCGCGCACACCATCCCGCTAGTGCCGCTGCGCAAGCTGCTCCTGCACGGATCCTGCTGCTACAAGCCGCCGGTGGAACGCAGCCGCAGCGCGCCCAAGCTCGGTTCCATCACCGAGGACCTGGTTGGCGAACAGCAGGAGCAGGAGCTGCAGGAAGAGGAAGAGGAGCACACCGAAGGCTGCCTGGAGGAGGAAGAGGACCGTGCGGGGGAGGAAGACACCGCAGAGGAAGAGGCTGAGACTCAGCGGGCGCTGGTGGTGGCCATGCATTTCGAATGCGGGGACTTGCTGGACACGCTGGACAGTGGCCGCGAGGAGGCGCTAGGGGGCGGCGGGGTCTCGCTGGGCTCCGGGGCTGGGTCGCCTCCTTTGATGCTGGGCCGCTCCTCCGATGTGAAGGCCGAGCTGTCGCAGCTCATTAACGACCTAGGCGAGCTCAGCTTCGGCAACGACGTGCGAAGCCTGCAGGCCGACTTGCGGGTGACGCGCCTTCTGTCTGGCGAGAGCACCGGCAGCGAGAGCTCCATAGAAGGTGGAGGCTCGGATGCCACCTCTGCCAACTCTGCCACTGCCGGAAACCAGACCAACCCTGCGGACCACGCCACTCCAGAAGAGCCGCACTCGGGCTGAGCTCCCAGAAACCTACTGCGTGCGCCCCAGCGTCCCACCGTGACTCCCCACCAGTCTTCTCGACCATCTCCTTACCGCCTCTTCTCGCCCCCCTGCTCCTCCCTAGGGAAGGGGAAATGGGACACTTGAGGCCCAGCGTTCCACCTGCCCCTCACCCTGAACACATTTGGCTCGGTTTTACGTGGAGCTCAGGTTGCGTGTGGAGATGTGGCGGGATGTGCGAACCGGGGAACCGTATAAAGAAGGAGAGAGGCAGACCTATGGGGTCGGAGGTGAGGGAAATGTCCGCTGAAGTTAGCAAAGTCCCACAGGCGTCAGGTGCTTGCCGGCCAGTTTCCTGTTTGTGGGGCAGCTGGGGCCTCAGGAGGAGGGGTTGACTTCCTCCCCACCACCCCCTTAACTGGGAGCAGCCTAGCATTGTCATTGACATGTCATTTAAAAGAAAAAAGAATTTTCTCTCACAATATTTGAAACTAATGCCGCATCTTTGCCCCTAGCCTTTTGATGCCCTAGCTTGGGTTGTTTACCTCAGACTCAGACCCTTGAAATTCTGCCAAATTCCTCAAATAATTGGGGGTGGGAACTGAAAGAAAGTTGCATTTTGTTTACAGTTAAAGACATCTAATATCTAAAAAAAGGAGTTTTCCTTTAGAAACACACCTTCCTCCTGCTCAAAAAAAAAAAAAACTCACTCCATGATACTGTGTAAAATATTTTTGCACTGTTGTGAAGTATTTTTGACATCTTTTTTTTTGTACATAACTGTGTTCTCAGAGCTGGATGTTTATATCTTTTGCTGTGCAAAAGGGACATGTAATATGTTCAGTTGTATATACAGAAATGTGTATAAAACATTTTGTTATTTTTGAAGCGTGGCGCTGCTCTGGTTCTGTTTGCGTGCCAGTGGGGAGAGAATAAAGAGGAAAATGGAACAGAACTGGTGAACGTCTGGAACTGCTGCTGAGAACGCTTGGCAGTGGTGGTGGGAGATGGTGTGGCCATCACCAGGGTGGTGTGGTAGGACAGTGACAGTGTTCGGCCTTGGCCGTGCTCAGAGGTGATTAGGAAAGGGGAATCCACTTATGGTAGTCTGGCGCCTTTCTGGTCGTCTGCCATTCTGGATGCTACAGCTGGGGCTGGCCTTTTCCTCGAGCGTATCCCATATTTTTCACTAAGTTGTGGGAGCGTAGGCTTTTTCTGGTCTCTTTAAATTAATTCTTGAGATGCGGAGTGAGTTCTGTTTCTCATTCCCATACCTGTAAGGTTATTTAGGGAGGAGTGACTTTTGATATCTGAGATTTTACTGCCTCCTTCTGTGGTTCATGGTAATGATCAAATGTGAGGACACAATATAATCGTTTCCTTTATAAACAGCTCAAGGAGCTTTAAAGATGAACTAGAGACCTAAAGAAATTCCCCATGGGGATCTCTGAGGAGTGGGACAATCTTTGGTTTTCCCTGGGAGGAAAATCAAGGAGAAAGGGAAGTTGGTAGTTCTGATCATGGCATGTGTGAATTGTGGTACAGGTTGGGTGGATTGAAGAACCTATTTTTCTTCCCGTGTGTGTGTGTGTGTGTGTGTGTGTGTGTGTGTGTGGGTGTGTGTGTCTGTTAGGGCTTTCATGCTTTCCGTGAGTTTGTTTCTGTTGTAAACTCCAAACAGATGTCTCTAGTTTGCCTACACCCGATCAGCTGGAAGTTGTAATAAGATGCTGCCAAAACTGTACCTTCTGCAAATTATATTTTTCCCTGTGCCCCTTTGGGCCCCTTTTCCTTTGTTGCGGAATGGATTGCACTCCTGGTATTCCTTGGTGTCCTGAGGCCACTTTGCTTTGTTTTCATCATAAACATGTTCTGAGCAGCTAGACCCGGCAGTCCTAAGGAGTCTGGAATTCACTGGAGCCATAAAGGAATGGAGGGTGGAAGATTGCCTAATTAATGGGGAATGGTTCAGGTATAAGACTATCTTTAGAAAAGTAAAGCGAAGGGTGATGGAGTGCGAAATAATTTTAAAATATTCTGAATCACTTCTTAAGGGCATTAGGACAAGGTCTAGGCCTTTGAATGAATCATATTTTGGTTTGGTTGAGTCTCTCTTTCTCTCCCTGAATACCTCAGATACACATCATTGAAAGACATTTTGAAACCCCCAGGTAGAGAGAGGTCAGGAAAGTCAAATCTTATCCCACCCAGACACCCACATTGCATGCCTTCCACACGGTTCTCACCTGACTGGCAGACAGCTGTGTGGGCTATCACTATCCTGCATGACTAGATTTCACACTTTAAATTATTTCCACATATTGCAAAGTTCCTCTGCTGTTTGAAACTGATGAGAACATTAAACAGGGTGAAGATTATACGGCTAGTATTTGGGGGTGGGACAGGGTATGTGTATCTTCATTCTTATTCAATTTATGTGTCCAGGGAGAATGCCAAAGTTGGCTTTCATCTGTGACTGATGGGGGTATGGTGATTGGTCAGAAAGTTCAGACCAATGACATTCAAACCAACACCATCAATAAATATAAGGCAACTATCTCTTTAAAGTCTGATTTTTCCTGTTATCTGATTTATAAATAGGGAAGAGGGGCTTAGGGGTTAAGGAAGGATGAAGAAGAAAATAAGCCTGCAAAAGAATCAGCTCCCTTCCTCTTAGTCCTGGGTGCCCTCCCCTTCCCTCTTTCCTCCCCTGTACTTTTTGGCTTTTATCCTCACTGCACCCCAGGGCTCTGGCTGATGTAATTCTAGAAGAGATGGGAAGGTGATACATGATTCACTCCTTTTATGTCTCAGTCTTCCAGGGGTGATATCATTAGAGTAAGAAGAGATGTTTTGAATGAAAAAAAACAAAAACTGAAAACAAATTTGCTGATAACATTCAGAGGGAAAAGAGTGGTGTGACAAAAGCAAAACTCAGTAGTTAGATGAAATACACATTCCAGAAAGCACCTGAGGTCCGGTTTACTCATCAAATTTAGCTTTGCCTTCTTGCAAGGTGAGACTCATGTTTCTTCTTTATGTAACCTGATGGTACTTTAAATGCAGTGAGACACTTTCCACATTCTTCCCCAGCCTAAGTAATCCTCCGTGTCCAACAATGCAGCATTGACTGCGTGAAGAACGGAGTGACTTCCAGTGACAAGAGAAATTGTTGCAGGTGGCAGCATGAGTCCATTCATCGGCCTCTCTCAACACAAACACCCCATATTCGTTTGTACAATTTGTTGTGTGTGTTTAGAGAAGAGGAGGGAGGAGTAGGACGGTGTCAAATAAACAATAGCATTACATACCCTCTCAACTATTATAGTTTCAGAGAAGAACACCTGTTCCACAAACACATGGTTCCCCCTGAAGAAATCATCCCTCTCACTGCCCTACAGTCAGCAGAATAGTAGATTTTAAATTAGAAAGGCTCTGTTATACTAAGAAAGCACAATTCCCTCCCAGGGATAAAGTGCTTTTAAGGGTTCTGCTTGTGAAAGAAGAGAGAACTGGCTGGTAGAATCCACCCCTGGCACCACACTGGAGATTAAAAAACCTCATGGGAGTCACCAAGGATCACAAGAAACATAAAAATTCTATTAGGAGCAAGTTGCCCTCGTTTCTAACAGGATTTAGTAATTTAATAAGCAGAACTCTTTCCTCTGTGTGGTACGCATCAGCAGCCCTAGCATCTGTGGATAAGTGATGCATGACAGAGCTAGAAATGTACTTGGATTGCTGGGGCTAGGAGCCATGACTGACATGTGGGAAACCACTCAGGGCTTAGGCAAGCAGGAGCCCGTTAGAGCCAGGATGTTCTGTACTCTGGGCACCAGGTTTTTCTGCAACATGGCCTCCTGCTCCTACTACCTCATCTATGCACACGGGCCACAGTGTGCCTGGGACCAAACCCTCACCACCAGCTCTGAAGTGATCCAATTTGAACAGTCTTGCCTAACCACCATTTTGGCGGTCTGAATGGCTAGGTAGCTCTGGAGCTTGGCACTCATTCCTTCCCCTCTCTAAGGCCGTTCAGTGGTACCAGCAAACATCCTTGGTTCCAACTTCCATGGAAAGTGGCCCTTCTGACAGCCTCCTAAACCCCTTCTTCATCTCTTTCCCCTCCTACTTCCTACTGTAACACATCATTCACCTCTGACTTTTTTTTTTTAGATGAGGCAACCCTTGGTTTACCTCACAGATTGCAAGGACCTTGTCAGCTTACAATCCTTTATTTTTTTATTTATTTTTTACACCTACAGCACCCGGTCTTCCTAGGTGGTCTCCCATCCAAGTACTAACCAGGCCCGAACCTGCTTAGCTTCTGAGATCAGACGGGATCAGGCTTGTTCGGGGTGGCATGGCCGTAGACTCACCTCTGACTTCTTATATAAACCAGCCTCCTACCTGATCCTCCTTCCCACAAAACTAGCTCAGACCTTAAATCATCTAAAGGAAAAGAAAACCCAAACTTGAAGGGAAAAAACAAACCAAGCACACAGTCATCAGGCAGCACCACTCTTGCACCACTCCAGGGCACCACTCCAGGACGTGCTCTGGCCCTGCCCCCACTTAGAGATAAACAAACTGAAGCATAGAGGAATGATGTCCTTCCCAAGGTTACACAAGATGGGGTCAAGACCCAGGGGTCCAGACTCTTCAACTCATGCTCTATTCGCATTCCTCCAGTTTTATGGCTTGTAACCAAATTTTTAGCTTTGGGATGGCAGAAACTGGCAGTTTAATTTTTCTTCCCCCCCTCCCCCACCGCTTTCTTTAGTACCCTACATTTCATACATAGTAGATACCCGGTGATAAATATTTGCGATGCCATTCATCAACACGCCACTCCCACTACTAAGTGTGAATGAGTCTACTAGCTGCATGATGCAGGAGGTAGAGAGGTCAGGTGTCTGTCTTCCGGGGAAGAATGCCACTGGTGGGTGGGTGGCAGCCCCCAGAAGAACTTGGCCTCCTCTTGCTTCCACTCCTGAGATCTAGTCTGGCAAGATCTTGCCCTTGAAGAGCAGGACTAATTTTAGGGTGGGGGAACTCGTCCCTTTGCATCATGATGATTAATCATCTGTATCCTTCCTGGTTGGCTGAATTCTCCTGTGACAGACATGTGTCTTTAGGCATCTCTGATTCAACAAACTTAGTACAGAGTCTGGCACTTAGTAGGTGCTCAGGAAATGCTAAGGAAGGAGTAAAGAAGCGATTCCATTTCAGTCTAGGAGAATAACTCTGGTAAAGCTCAAGGTCATCATCCAGATGGAAGAGCCAAGGTTTTAAGGATATATGTTTAGAAAGCACAGAAGATTGGGATTCAATTGACTCCTCAACTCGACATGAGGTAGAGTTGATTCCCAAGATTTTCCTTGGAATTTCTGTAATCTTCTTAGGGAAGGGTGGTTCTGATTTGGAGAAGGATGGCTTATTTGGAATTGTCTTTGAATGGCATTGGAGTCCCATCCCTGCTCATTTTAGCCCCAAGGTTATTGTTGACATCACTCCAATTTAAGCCAAATGAAGGCAAAAAGTCTTCCAGAAGAGCCTTGGATTCAGGCCTTGAAGTGACCTGGACTCCCTCTGCATTGACCCAGTCAAGTCGCTTCCATTCTCTAGCCTCAGGATCTTCATAGGTAAAATGGGTATTTTGGATTAGATAATAGCAAGACCTTCAGCACTGATGTTCTGAATTGAGAAGGAGCAAAGGTTAAAGTCAACTGTGTTTCTGCCTTCCTCCATCCCCTAGTGGGAGAGAATAGAAGACATCTCTGACCCTGGGCTAGAAACTATCTGGGGCTCTGGGGACAGAGCTCATTTTTAGAACCCACTGCAGCCTGGATCTTTACCAGAGTCTAATTTGGAGGTGATGTTTCCTTGGCCAATCCAGAGCAGGAGTTTCCTGTTGAGGCATCCCTTTCACTCCCGCAAAACTTGTAGGCTATG